GCTTTCCAGGCCAGCAGCACCTGCCGGGGATCCGTAATGGGCAACGTGGAGGTGTGGAGCTGTGGACAGTGGGTGAGATGAGAATGTCCCAGCATAGCCACTGTTTTCCCATCCTTCCTACTGAGCTGACACCAATTTAGGGCAGAAATTGCGTTTTTGCAGGCCAGGGTCACCGCTGAGCCAGGGCCATGCATATCCCAGCTCAGGGTGATCTCCAGTGGGTGCTGGACACTCGCTCAATGGTCCGTGTTGGAACACAGGTCCTGTTGGGTCAGCGACTGCCAAGCTGGACAACAGCCCCAGGCAGACTATGTGGTCCTTCAAGGCCAGCACCCCGAGATGCTCATCCTCATCGCACACACTGACGCTTTCCCATCCGTGCCGAGCAGGTCCAAGCAGGATTGCTCTTTGCAAGACTGCTCTTTACTTCTAAGGGCACGTGACAAATCCTTGCAATTAGTGGGCACTTGCTCTGCGCTGTATTTCTTGCAGGAGGAGGAGGTATTTCCTCCTCCCCAGGTGGCTGCTGGAGGCCATGGCCTCGGCACCCCACTCCCCACAGCCCTGCTGCGGCCCAGCTCCCATTTATCAACCAGGCGACTTGACGTGATTAGGAATCCCAAAGTCAATAATCTGATAATCTCCCGTGCGCAAAGGCTTGCGTGGAGGAGCAGTGATTCCAGGAAGTCTGCAGCTTGGATTTGCACGGGAAAAATGCCAGGTTCTAAAAAAGAAACCTGGAGGAGAGAGCGCTTCCTAATCTCTCGCTGCTCACGTATTTGAAGCCGTTGGCTCGGCAGTAAATGTTTTCCCGTACAGTCATTTAGTGCCTCCGAATCTCCCTTTACAGTCTTAATAATAATGTTCAGTCACTGGTTCTGCTCTAAAAATAAATGATCTAAGTTTAACGAGATGCTCAGTAAGGGATGTGGGCTGCAGGGTGATGTCCCCAGGGTGCTTGGAGCAGTCCCCAGCCCTGCATGCTGCTGTCCCGCATGGGGCATGGTGTAAAACAATATTACATTTGGCAAACGTTGGCTGTCTCTTTTTTTAGGGAGAGCTTGGAGAGAGATATTTGATGCAAACATCGTGCCAGAAAAATGTCTGTCTGTAAAACATTTTGAATGTGTAAAGGAGCTAATAAAAATGATTAAATATTTCAAATGCTTCACGTTGCTCTTTAGAAATGTCAGATGTTCCCGTTGGCTTTTGGTATTGAGAAAGGAATGGGGAGTGGGAGGGAGTGAAACCTTCCTTGGAAAGTGTTCAATAGATTAATTCCAATTTGTGCCTCTCAGCCCAAAGCAAAAGCATCGAAGGCCAACATGCTTCCTGACCCACAGATCCCTCACAACCTGCCTTTTCCCCCACAGCTTGAGGCAAGGTTATCGTGATGCTTTTTACAATGTAGACACATAAAGAGGAGCAGGTGAGGTGGGAGCTCGTCTTCCTGCCTGGGGACTTAGGGTGCAGGATCGATGGATTGTATGAGGGAAACATGCTCTTGGGAAGCACTCCTGGCTTATATAAAAGTTTCATCAATTTTAAATGACAGTGTTATCTTCCTAACAGGATGTTTTAGCTGCAACATGCTCTACATAAGCCTTTTAGCTTGGTTTGTCACAAACCGCTCTGCCTTCCGCAGGTTCGTAACCCAAGCTTGTCGCGCAGAAGGCATTGAGGGGAATTGTCTGAAAGCCAAGCGCACGGATGTGATAGGAAATTGTCCCATTTTTCACTTATGTGGTGGGATGAGTGATGGCCAGGGTCGTGCGCCAAGGTACTGCCAACTGTCTAATGCACAGTTGGGACTTTAACTTCTCCAGGGCTCTGCTTCCACAGGGCCCTTTTGCTGAGCAGGATGTTGGGACTGTGAAATAAGGGGACAGCCTTGGATTGGGAACCGGGCTCCACAGGCAGCTCAAATGAAGGTTGCGTAGAGCTGATGCACGAGTGCAAATAAGTGCACTCCTTGCATGTGAACCCTGTCCCTGGGTGACTAGCAGCTCCCAAATACAGAATGGGGGGATATCTTGCCACCACATCAAAACCTGGCATTAGAGAAGGAGCCGGGCCTCCAAGCGGTCCGATATGTCAGATGATGGACCATCATCTCCCCTGAAGTGGTGTGTGAAGCACATGCTCAGTGAGAAATTATAATTTTTCTCAAGTGCCAATGAGTGTATTTGATCTTTATAACATCCTAATCCTTTTCTACAGCAAAGACTGTTTATTATTATACCAGACCATGATAAATACCGTTTCTATCAGTGAAGTTAGGCTGCAAGGCCTTCCTCACTTGCAAAGACGTAGCAATGGAGGCAGCCAAGGCTGGGAGCTTGCAGAGGAAATATCACCATGGCACAAGCAGGGCTGGTGTTTTAATCGGTGCTCAGGAAGACACTATCTTCAGAGATGTGCAGCCTCGTTAAAGACATGTCAGATGTCTTTTGATTTATCTAAGATTTATCCAGTGTGAAGGGGGAAAGCGATACGCATGCACAGTGCAGCCAGGACTAGCGCTGAGTAGGGATTTATAGGCAAGGAGTAAATAGGAACATAGGGAAACGCTTTCTCTTTTTCCATAAACTTTTCAATTTCGGAGAGGCTACATTCAATAAAATTATCTCTCAGACGAAGGTTTTATTGAATCTGGCCCATAAAACTCCCATTATGGGGTTTACAACTGCCATTTACACAAATCCTGCTATAATAAAATACAGTGGTGTTTACAACGTTCTTGCAACTGCCACAGAATTATGGCATGTGCAAAACCTGACGAGTAAATCTTGGCTTAATGCAGCAGGCGCTCAACTGACAACATAAAGCAGCGAAGCTTAAAAAAAATACGCAGAGCTAGGAGGGTGAAAGTTACTTGGGCAAGAGGAGAATTATGCCTGCTACTTTGCCAGGAAACTCCAGGGAAATCGCAGAAGTTTATAACCTCATTCTTCTCTCCTGCAATGCAAAATGTAAATATGCTTCCGTGCAGGTGCAATGTGGGCTGGGCAATTGCAGCCGTTAGCAGCATCTGGAGCCAAGCCGTGCTGGCCAAGCCCTTGCTGAGGTTGGGTATAAAGGTCTCCAACTGCCTCCCCTTTCTTTTCCTTGTTCTAGAGGTGTTGCCAGGGTGTTTGTGGGCAGAGCTTGTGGTGGGGCTCAAAAGCAATGGCCAGGCCTGGTGGTTGTGGCTGGAGAGGAAGGAGGGATTGCTGAGAGAGTGAAGGCATTGGAGAAGTCTTTGGGCCCTGGTGTGGGGCACAGGGGTAAGTACAGGCTTGTTCTAAGCTGCCTGAGATGCTGAGATTTCAGCTGTCTGAATCTGTCCTCAGAAGAGGAGAGGAAAAGATGCAAATTTGGGCATATCTCCTTTCTCTGCTTCAGCAACTGTGTTGATCAAGGTGCTGAAGTCCTTGTGTAATGGTGGCCTCTTAGGCCTAAGGAGCATGAGTTTATCCTCAAATCCATTACTTTATCGGGAAAGATGTGTCTGCAAAGCACTGTCTTCCTCAGCCTGTGTCCCTGCTGAGGCTGGTGGGTGAAGGAAGATGTGGCCCCTGGTTTCTGGCATTGTGCCCTTCAGTGCCCACTTTATTTATTGCAGTGTATTAATCGTTGGCTCCCTGTGTCTCTGCAAAAGGCTTGCATTTGCTATGCCATTAATTAGGACAGAAAGCAGATCAGTGCCAATCTCTCCTGTTCTTATTAATATATTGTTTTCTGACAGTGCCTCACAAATTAAATTGGGATGATTAATTCCAATTTTCAGTGCTCTTGCCCGTGTAAGGGTAGAACAGCTCTTTCTATTTGTAGAGGAAATGATTAAGTCTAATTTGGGATGAAGGCACACTATTCAAATTATGGCAGAAACACTTATGCCAGAGCAAATATTTAACAAGCTAATTTATAGCAAGCCTCAGCTTTCCTGCTACCTGTTCGTTCTGCCAGCAAGGCTGGTTTAAGGAAGTGACTTAACTAATATTTTCTTACCTTTCTGTATCACTGGGTGCCTCAGCACCTTTGCGAATCTATCCCCAAGTGATATATGTTGGTTGCAGTGGAATTGTGTGGGTTGTGGGCAGCTGGGGACAGATGTGGGACATGCTGCGTGGAGATGGACGCAGTGTTACAAGTTCTGCCTGTGGTAAAGCCCATCTGGGAGACGGAGAGCCTTTTTTAGCATGTTTGCTAGAAGGAGAGGAGAGATGGACTCAGGCTTCTGGCACAGCAGGTTCTGCAGAACTGATAATGAGCAACAAAGTGAAGGTCTGAGACCAGCTGCTAGAGGAACTGGTGTTCAGGCCCGTTCCCTGGTGACTGCTGCTTGTGCCTGATGTGAAGCTGAGCTGCTTGACCCTTCCTGGAGCTGCAGTTCAGCTCTGCTCTTCTGTGCATCTTCCCCTTGCCTCGGGTGCAGCCCTGGCTGTGACACTCTGCTCCGTCACACCCTGCAGCCATCCCCGTCCCAAATGCTCATGGATTGTCCCCAAACCAGGCAACCTGTGAGGAAATGATGTGTGTTTAAAGTTCAAGTCTGAGGAAGACACTGATGCTCCCAGCTCTGCTTGTGTTGGAGCTGGCAGAGCTCAGGGTAACTGTGTTTCAGTGGTGCCTGCGCAGCATCTGGATGTGTCTCTTTGTTATCTGTCCTTATTGTCTTTAGTGTGGCACTTGCTCCATATTTTCCCTTTTCATTTGTTTGCTGTATTTTTTCCCCTGATTTTTCACCTTTCACTTCCTGGGTTCACACTGCTGTAGATCTTAGAGGAAATCTGTTAAAGCAGTGGTGATACTTCACAAGTTTCTAGTTATAAAAGATCGGAACAAGATCTGCCCCACATAACTGTTCACAATGCACTTGAGAAAACATTTGTTCACACCACACCTTTGAGATTTTCCTGCTTGAGGTCAAGCTGATAAGGCAGGTAAAGCAGGTGGGATGGGCAGCCCTGTGGTAGGTTGCTGCAATAAAATAAATGTTTTGTTGTTTTTTTTCACAGCTTTTTGCAATCTTTGCATTTGCAACATGCGGTGGGTACTCTGGAGGGCTGCGCCTCAGTGTGGACTGTGCCAACAAGTCGGAGAGTGACCTCAACATCGACATAGCCTTTGCCTACCCGTTCAGGTAAGGCCTTTTGTTCAGGAGGGTTTGTTTGTGGGGCTGGTGTGAAGCCTGTTTGCAGCTGGAAGTGCTGCTGCTTGCAGTGGGCCTGTGATTCAAGCACCAATGTGGGACGCTTGGGCTCTTCCCATGGCTGTCCAGGAGCTGGGAGTGTGGGAGGGAGAACTCCGGTTGGGTCAGGCATGGAGAGGGCCCAAGGGAAGCTGTAGGGGGTGGAAAAGGCACTTAGAACAAAAAGACATTTTTAGCCCATGAACAAATGAGGATGAGTAGCCTTTACTGTAGTAGCTGCTAAGCTGGAAATGCAGAGCCTTCTCCAAAATCATCCAAGGTGCAAGCACCTGGAAGAGGCACTTTGCAAAGATAAGGAAGCAAAAGAGAAAACAAGTTTTAACCATAATCTTGAAGTGTTTCGGAAATTCTGCTTGCTGCCTGTCTGCATCTCAGGTAAGCGAATATGTTAAATGTCTGATCGATAGTGACTTCAGAAAATGTGGTTTTTGTTGTTTAAGTGTTCTTGAAAGCTATCGGAGAAAGAAACACCAACTGTTCCTGCTGTTAAGGATTCTGCTTCAAAACACCCAGAACCTTGCACTTCTGAACTCCACTGTAGAAACTTGTATTTCATTTCTGTACAAGTGTTTACTTTAAGGAATTGAGATGATTAAGAAAGGAGTGTATACTCCAATCTCAAACCCAGTATGCCATGACTCTGAAGTTGTGCTTCTTTGGGAAATCACATGCTGTTTTGCTTATGACTATTTTATGTATTGATCAAGCATAACAGTATTTACTACTAGTTATAAAACAGCATCTTTCTAACAGTGGAAACTAAGTTGATTCCGAGACTTGTTGCTGTTGGAATAATAAATACATGCCAAGCAAAGAGTCTTACTTTCTGCAATTGCAAATATTTCTTTTTTCTTAAAGTTGTCCTTTTTCTTTTGCTGCTGTTTAGTATGCATGAGATGGATTCTGAAAATTGAGTTATGTGAATTTGTAATGTGATTCACTTCCAAATAGGTCATTTTTTTCCAGCATTCATTACAGAATACACCCTACAGTAAAGTGCTTTTAATTTGCATGATTATAAAATATGACTTTGTGTAAAAAGTTAATAAAACTGAGCAAAATAGTCAGCAAGTATCTCCTGGTGTTCTAATGGACCGTGTACACAATTTCTGTTAGAAGAAAGTCCCTGGATCTGCATTTCCTACAGTTTTGCTTATTAGGAAACTGAAAACACTGCTGAGTAATTAAAACATTCCATCAAGCCAGAAAGATAATGCAAAGCAGCGTTTTCTTGTGGAAATGATCTAGTTGGGACTGAAGCTATAGATGGTCCTTGAACTGTTCCTGTTCTGCTTCCAGCTATGGATGGTGTGGGAAGTCAATGCAGGCTCTTCCTCCTTGAAACAGCAGGCCATGTGATGTAAGCCAACAAATGTGTAAATATATGTGATATAATGTGAATATATTTGCACCTGGGAAGGAAGATAACCCTTAGGCAGCTGACGTTTTGGGGCAGAAACATAAAGATACTCCCTGTTCTTGTGCAGTTCTGAACTTTGTGTGCAAACTTGAGGGTTGGGCTGGCATAAGTGTCCAGAGACCTACAAACTGCAGCAAGTAGCATCTGTGCACCTTGGAAATCCAGTTCAGTTCTGCTATTGAACTCAGTTGCATTTAATTAAGTTTCATCTAAATATTCGTGTGACTTATGAGTTTGTTTTTCCCACTTCCCCCCCTGTGATCCTTCTAGAGCAGGGGATGCTCTCAAACAAGAGGGGAAAGCTGATCTCTCAGAGCAGTTCCCCCCTATGATCCTTCTAGAGCAGGGGATGCCCTCAAACAAGAGGGGAAAGCTTTGAGGGGAAAGCTGATCTCTCAGAGCAGTTGATACCCTTGGGAAAGGCAGATGAGCTTTGAGCTGAGGTGGCCTCAAGACTGTAACCATGAAGTGCTTGCATGTGTGTGGCTTTTTTTTTTTTGATTAATATGAACAGTGCTTCCCCACTGGGAGAGGCAGGGTTACAGACTGAGAAGGTGGCTGAAATGACTCACAACAGTGGCAATGCTAACTCCTCTTTATTCTTGTGCCATCCTATTTTCCTTGAGAGTCTCCTGTAGGTGTATGGGGTTTGTGCAGAGCAGATCTTAGTGGGCTCTGCAGGGCTCACTCAGCCAGCCTGCATCCTGCTGCCTGTGTGGGCTTTGCACAGGTAGGATGAATCCCCTCACAGTTGTTCTCATGCATCCAGGTCTGAGTAAGTCCATAGTCACCTGGCAACTTCTTTTCAAATGCTTTGAGTGTTTTGATTATTGGCTGAGAGCTGGAGGAGGTGTGGGTGGCAGGAGCCAGGCTGCCAAGCACCTGATGACATTGGCTGCTGTCGTGGCTGCCAGCAGCGGTGCCACTGAAGCAGCTGGATACATGAGAGCTGCTTTTTGAGCTGAAACTTCCAGAATGACTTAAATTGATTGAAAACTGCAGCTGTGCTAGCAGCTGCTCTTGTCCACGTTGCTCCGGGCATGAAGATGCTTGTTTCCCTCTAGATGTACAGACTAGCTAGACCTTGGCCAACAATATCAGGAAAATAAGCAAAACTGCAGGGTTCAACAGGATAAGTCAGGCCGGAAAGAGGGCTTGGGTGCTTTGGCAATGAGATTGAAGTTATTTAGGAGCCCAAACCTACTACTGAATCCAAACCTACCATCTCCCCACTGTAACAGGAATTGGGGTCGATGTGTTTTTTCATCTGCAGCTATGTTGTTTTACATAACCTAATTGATCTTAAGGCTCTTCTTGATTTTGACCTCTATTTTCCCTTAACTTCTGTCTGCTTTAGCTGCTGATTTTAGTAAACTCTGCATAGCAGAAGTGCTCTGACAGTGCAGTGTGGTATAGGCAAGGAGTACACAGCCAAGCAGAAATATCTAATATTATAACCCACTGCTTTGTGGCTGCCTCATTTCTGCAAATCCCTGTTCCCGGCCAAGGGAGAAATGGCTCTATCAAATACCGTGGTGGTAGCTTGGTGCCTTGCACAGGCCTGATGGGTGAGTGCTGGGAGCTGGGAGAGATGGAGGCATTGCAGCATCCCTTCCATGAGTGCAAAACAAGTGCAAAAAGCCTGGCTGGGGAAGTGAAATGGGCCTAGCTGTGTCCCTCTGCTCCCACTTGTATGACAGCAGCTCTGGCTTGCTCCAGGCACCTGGAGCACACAAGGCTTTTCAAGGATTAAAATATCTTCTAAGGGGAAGGAGCCACTATTTTGAGAGCAGGCAGAAGACAAGGCAGGAGAGGGGTGTAATGAAGTAGATAGTGAGTTTTATTTTTTCAGTTAAAAGGAGAGGGGAAGGAGCATTTCGGAGGTAACTGTTACCTTTTCTGGTGGTCTTCATTCTCCAAGCTATTTGCACATTGGCCTCAGAGCACAGACCACCTCTTAAATGTGAGGAATCTCGCCTAAGTCAGTGGTTAAGGTAGGTATATACATATATAACGTGTGATGGGAGAGCTGAGAGGTATTTTATAGTGGGGCAGAGAACTCGATTGCCTGGTGGTACTAATACATCTATATTCTTCTTTGCATCACAGCAGTGAGCAAAATGAATACTGATTTTCTTGCTTTATTTTACATCACAATTAGTAGCTTTCCAATGTGCTAGTAAAGCTGTCTTTTGAAGTAAGCCTAGTGTCTGAAGGAAAAGGCACAGAAATTGTATTTGATGGAAGCTTTTCATTCACTAAGTATTGCATCTGAATAAAGACGTTCCTGTTGAACACCCTTTAAAGTGTGTGCCTCATCTACATGCATTGGCTAGGCTACTCTTTCATTTGAAATTTGACAGCCAAATCTAAATTACCTACTTATAAGCTACAGATGATAATTAAGAAGAAAGTAGCTAGCTTGCTATGCTTCACGAAATTTTTCTTTGGTAAAAAGTCTTCATTATATTAGCACATTTCTGTCTCAAAATGTACTAGCCTTCATTTTGTTGTTGCTTTTTAACTTGCTTGTGATAAATTCTGTTTCAGAATTCAGTAGAAAATATAATTTTGGCAAAAGGTGCAAACAGCCATTGTGGTTGGAGACCTGTTGGGTACTAGGTGGTCACCTGCTCTGCAGACCTATAGATGTGTAGGACACTTCCACAATTGGCTCGACGTTGGACATGTATTTTAATATGGTTTTAAAACCAGATCTGTCTCACCATACACCCTGATGGGCAGTAGATCACTGCAGAAATTACCAAAAAGTTGGTGCAGAGCCATTTCAGAGGCATTGCATTGGACATGGAGCATCCCTGCATGCGATGTACAGGGCAAATGAAGACATAAATGGCAATTCTTGCTGCATGGGATGTGTTTGGAGAAGATGTTCGCGCCTGCCTGGCAGCTCAGGCATTTTGGTTACTTACGGTTTTACAATTAGCCCACAAGAGCTGTGTTACTTTAGCCCCTTTCGTTGGCAAACTCTGACTCCGTCCTCCAGCCCTGCAGGTCTGGGGTTAACATCTGAACCAGCAGGGAAACATGTTCAATAATAGATCAGAGACACTGGAGGTTTTAAGCAATATTCTTATATAAACTGGCACTAAGGACAGGCGCTAAGGGCTGGGTCACAGCTTTAATTATCTTCTTCCACAACAGACTTTCAAACTGTGATCTCAGTGGTTCCTTTAATGCCTAATTTTGGCCTTTGGAGAATAGTTTTGCCTAACAAGAACTTCTAGCTTTTAACTGCTGTTAGTGGAAACTGGAAATGATGCGAGTGAAGAGCCTAATACTGCATCCTGCTGTTTAAAGTTCAGGAGATGAATCCTTCAGGACACAGGAACCTCTAGTTGTGACACTTTGATACAAGTCTCTTCATATTTAATGTAACCTAATGATCCAGGGAAGACCAAAGGCTTAAGATCTGCCTTTTAACTAGGAAAAACAGGCACTAACTTTTTTATTTGTGATTCATATGTTCTAGTAATTTATAGGGCTGGCC